TATATATATATAGGGTTGGGCCAGGAACCAAACCTGGGCCTCCCATGAAACCTAATATATTTTGTGTGTTCCTAATACCTAACACAGAGCTAGGAGTATAGTAGACCCTGAATGTCTGTTGAGGAATTCATCCACATGACAATTTAAAAAGAGAGCATGACAGGAGCATCAGATGGTGTGGCAGTTAAGGTAGTGGACTCCCACATGGCTGACTATGGTTTGAATCCCAGACTTGGCACAACAGCTTGAAAATCCCATTGGGCATGTGTGCATGCCTGCCCAAATCCCAAGAAGAGGAAGGAGGATAAAAGATTGTGGCATGGTCATCCCCCTGGAGGGTGGTTTCTCACTTTCTCTCATTGTCTCTCTCCTGTGAGTACACACTCTGTATGAAAAAAAAACTAAAAATAAATACATAATTAAGAAAGGGTGACATTACTGGCTACTGAGTCCTGTGGTGTCAATCCTCACTACCCAAAGAATAAAGACCAGCATCAGTATCACCTGGGAGCTTCTCAGGTACCTTTGCAGACTGAATGAATCAGAATCTACCATTTAACACGATCCCTCAGTGAACTGTGTGTGTATACTTTAAAGATTGAGAAGTTCTGATATTACAGTAATGCTTGTAGTAGCTTGCTCGCATTTGCAAAAATAAGACTATGGATGTCAATAAGAACATAGATGGATTCTCTTGTGGTACAGTGGATTCCTAAGTAATCATTTGTTTATGATTTAAATCTGGTCTCCCCATTTCCTAGTTGGGTAGCCTTGACCAACTCCTGAGTCTATTATGTTCAATTATTTCTTCAAGAAGTTATTGAGATGATAGTCACTATCTCTCACAGGGAGATTTTAAGGGATAAGATACTCAGAGCATCGAGCACATCCTGGTGAGTTGTGAAGGCTCAATCAATGTGAATTTCTAAGAATATTCCATTTAAAATTGGGCAACAATTGGTGTTTGGTGCCATTGTTGCTAATAATTGGAGAAGAACTAAGAAGATCCAAGCTTTGGAGCCATGATGCAAAGCTTGAATGTGGCCTGGAACATAGCAAAGAATTAGAGTGTGTATTAGTTTGAGCTGCTGTAACAAAATACCATGGGTTTGTGTCTTAAAGAACAGACATTTTGTTTCTTACAGTTTTGGTAGCTAAAATCTTTGATCAAGTACCAGCACATTTGTTTTCTGGTAAGGACTCTCTTCTTGGCTTGTCAACAAATACCTTCTCACTATGTCTCTGTGTGGCCTTTCCTCTGTGTATGAGTGAAGAAAATTATATCTATCATCTCTTCCCTTTTTTACAGATTTATTAATCCTATCTTATTAGGGCCTCACTGTAAGGCTTTATTTCACTTAATTACCTCTGAGGCCAAATGGTGGTGCAGCAGCAAAAAACAACATTTTATGAGACAATTCTATGTGGGAAGGCTCTAGGTTCAAGTCCAGAGACCTCCCTGAATACACCAGGCACAGGCATTCCTATAAGCTGGAATGAACTGAAGACTGAGGGTGGATTAAGACCCTATTGGGTGTTGTGTCTCTCTATTTATATCTTTCTCATCTATGGAGTAAATAGATTTAAGAAAAAAAGAAAACTTTAAAAAATTAATTTTTAAAAGTCCTACCTTCAAATACAGTTATATGGGAGGATGGGGCTTCAACATATGAATTTGGAAGGGGACCCCTCACAGTTTATTGTATAACAGAAATAAACATCTCATGTCAAAGAAAAGGGCAAGAAGGCACCTATGAAGAGAACTCCCCATCTAAGTGTGTTAGTTTCATAGGTCTGCCATAATCAAATACCACACATTTGGTGATTTTTTTTTCTTTTTTTTAAAAAAAAAATTACTATTTTTTGCATTTAATTACTGTGTAGGTTTACAACATTGAACATGAATTTTCCCAGCATGAATACCTTGTATGTCAGTCCAGTCAAATGAATTACCATATCATTGCCATCAACAGATAATTTTCCATTTTTTACCCATCGAATGTTTTTGTTTTTATTACCTGATTCCCCCCCCCACACACACACACACACACACTTACCACCTTCCTCCCATACTGTCTCTGGTATCCATAGTTGCTTTCCATGCTTTTATGCCTTCCAATCTTTCAGTTTCTGCCATAGAGCATAGACATTCCATATATATTAAGTGGGGACATACAATGCCTCTCTTTCATAGTCTGGCTTGCTTCACTTAGCAGTAAATCTTTCATATTCATCCACTTTCTATCAAATGCCAAGGCCTTATTATTTTTAATGACTGAGTAGTATTCCATAGTGTATATGTGCCACACTTTTTCAATTCATTCATCTGTTCTTGAACATTTAAAACAATAGAAATACACTATGTTACATTCTTGTGGCTAGAAGTCTGAACTCAGGATATTGACAAAATGTGCTGTCTATGACTGCTTTTGGGGAGAATCCTCCTCTGGCTCTTTATATCTCATGGTATTTACTGGAAATCCTTGGCATTACTTGGCTCATTGGTGCATCATTCTGGTCTTATGGCTATCTTCTCTATGTGTATCTTTACACTGTTTTACCTCTGTGATGTCTGTCTCTATGTCCCATTTACATCTTTTATAAAGACACTGGTCATATTGAATTAGGGCCCACCATAATGATCTCACTTTAACTTGATTATTTCTATATAGACTGTATCTCCAAATGTGGTCACATTCTGAGATACTGAGGATTAGGACTTCAGCATGCCTTTTTGGGGGCCAGAAGGTGGGCATGTAATTCAAACTATATCAGTAAGTAAAAATTTTGGTGAGAAGTGATTGTAATTCTAGAGGCAAGTGGGGACTAAAGCTTTAGAAAATGGAGCTAGCAGGTGGCATAGTGGCTAAAGCACTGGACTCCCAAATGATCAACTGCAGTTTGAGTCCTGGACCTGATGGCTTTAAAATCACGCTGGATATATGTGCATGTGTGCCCAAAATCCCAGGAGGAGGACGGAGAAGGGATTATAAAGTGTTCAGTCCCAAAGGGAGTTATTTCTCACTTTCCCTCTCACTGTCTCTCTCTGTCTCCCTGATGAGTGCTCGTACCCTAAAGCATGGGAAACAATATTGTATGACTGGACACTGAAAAATGTTAGATGCACATACACATTGCGCACATGTACACACATACATACATACATGCACACACACACCAGATTTGGAAACAGCCAGAAAATTACAGTGCTTTCTTTCCAAAATCAAACATGAACAAGACTTTCAAGAATTGTATCTTTCAATTGCTAGTTAACTGTGGACAGGGTTAAGTCCTCATCTTCCTGCTTTCTGTAGAAACTCAAAGTGATGTCACAGGGACCTTCCTCAGTAAGTGGCAGGAAGACGCACTGTAAGAAGATTTCTAAGACTTAATTTGGTAAGTGGTTAGAGCGTGCTCTCTCTCCATCGTTCTGTCTCTTTTTCTCTTTGTCTCCCTCTCCCTCTGTCTCTCTCCCTTCCTGTGGTGGCAGGAACAGCAATCTATTTCTCAGCAGTGACAGGCCAAGAAAATAGAATACGAACTTCTGCAGGGTGTGGGTGTGATTTTTCTTTTTTTCTGGTGAGGGCTTCATCTGGGAAAGTATGGAGCTGTTTCTATCCTGGCCTGGGGAACTGAAGAAGTGATTGTCAGTTTGAAGATGAGGGCTTTGCAGCCTCTAAGCGTCCTTCTTACTAGTAGACATGGAAAGAGGTCAATTTGGATGCTGATTGGATCTCCCCAGGTGAGGCAACCTTCTAGTGAAGCTGGGAGGAGTGTTTTCTGTCACCTGTAAACAGGTGAGCTAGATTCAACATGGCCCTGAAGCAGAGAAACAAACAGCTATTGACAGAACTGGCTTCACAAATGGAAGATGTTAAAGGTAGTTTTGAAAAGGTAAGTGATCAGATTCCATCCTGCCTGTCCTTTCCAGAACCAGCAGCCCTCTTCACTGAAAGAGTTCTATGAAAGATGCCAATTATGTGAGTTGATGTTTACTGGCTCCCTCCCCTCAAGCCTCCTGACAAGAGATTGTGGCATATCATTAAAGTCTTAATGCATTTAGCCTAAAGCTTCTCTCTGCCTGTTATTTTTGTGCGGGGGAAGGAGAGGGTAGCAAGAACACCCTCCTTTTGGAAGGTGTAGAATATTGCACTACCACCTACCACTCATTAGGAATGAAATGCCCCACTTAATCTTCTGCAGTCTCATGCATTAACTAACCACCTACTGGTTATGAATTTCAAATTTCTAGAACCAGGACAGATTCTCTTGGGAGTTCCAGCTTGTGTTTGTTGACAAGACATCACCACCTGGAAGCCACTCGACAGACAACTTGACCACAACATTCAAATTAAACTCATTAGCTTTCTTCCAAATCTGCCTATAAAACAAAACTCAGTGAAGAGAACCTGCTAGCTACCCCATAAGCACTATTGCTTTTCACCCTCCTTCCTCCTCTGATTCTTCAACTTCTCAATATGCTTTAAACCAGCCTCCTTCTACTATCCATGGCCATTGGCTTGGTTGACTCCTTGATCAACATGCTCCTGGGAAAATTGTACTAACCACATCTTTTATATCTTTCTTACTCCACATCCTGAAGATCTTTATGAAACACAAATGTGATCTTGATTGCTCTCTTTCCCACTACATCAGACTTTTCAGGGACTCCTTCTTACCTGCAAGATAAATGCTTAACTCTTTAGTACAAATAGAAACATTTCAGGATCTGGACTTCATCTACCTAACTTCCTTTTTCAGAACTCTCCTCACCCCCTTTCACCTGTCTCTTATTTTAGGAGTCAGCTGAGGGGCTTACTTCTCTGAGCCTGAGAACTATCTGAAAAATTGGTATAACAGCACCAACTTCACAGAACTTATGTGTGCATGTAGTAGGTGCTCAGAGCAGAAAAAAAAAAAAATCTCTTCCCAACAGTTCTAATTTAAATACCACTTGTCTCATTCTCTGAAGTCATGCTGAAGTCATGTAACTAGTATGGTCATTTGTAAGTAAAAACAAAGAACAAGAATCTAGCAAAAGCTAGAATCTCTATAGACAGATGTCAAATCTAGTTGTATACGTATACTTTCCTTTTCTTAGTTGGCTATCTCGTAAGCCTTCTTTTTTCATTTTCTCCAGTCAAAGCACCTCCCTAATGGAGCTAGCTCTACAGCAACATCAACCAGCTGATGGACCTCCCTGGCCTATCACACCTTCTCCCTTCTCCACCCATCCTAGCCCAGCCCTGCTTGAGATCTTGTTGATAAAATTGTTAATAATTTATCATAATAAAGTGGTTAGAATCAGCTCATGTTAAGACTGAAAACAAAACAAAGCAAAACGAAACAAACAAAAAAACAAAAAAAAAAAAAAAAACAAGCAGAGGCCAGATGGTGCAGTGGCCAAATATAAACCCCTGTAAGATAATCCTACAAGGTTCCCAGTTTGAGACTGAAGACCTCCCTGAGTATACAGGGCATACGTTTGCCCATAATTTGTGGCTGTCTGAAGGCTAAGGATAGGAGTGGAGGGCAACATCAAGACCCTATTGGAGGTACTGTCTCTGTCTCTTCCCCTCTCTTTCTCTCATATATATGTGCACACTCAGAAGAAATAAGTAAATAAGCCTTCAAGGTCAGTTGTTTCATGCTCCATCTGATATCTGAGTCTCCTTACTTTCCTCAGGTAAGGGGAAATGTGTTATTTTCAAGGCAGCCAGTATTACCTGGGTTCAGCTCTGGTTCTAAATTCTTGGTTACACACAGATCCTTTAGAGTATTATCTTGAATTCTATAACTGGTGATGTACTAGTAAATAGTTCTGATATGTAGGTGCTGCTTCCTGTGGTGTAAATTTTCCCGCCATGGTCAATTTCAAGCTACCACAAAAATCTGGGTCAGAAAACATGCTCAATACTGGTTTTTGTAAGACTATATTGTCAGACTCCAGCTTATCACTGTCACCCAATTGGCATTACATATGAGCTGGGTGAAGATCATTCATATGATTCTAGGCCTCGGTCTTGAATTCCATCCTATATTCTCTATCCTAATTTATATCTACTTTGCTTCTGATGAGTTTTTAGAAGAATGTGGAGCTCTCCACTGCCTTCCCAGTCACAATTTCTGTCTCACTCCTTGAAAGTGATTCAAGTACTCTTTCTAAATAGACTGCCTGACTTCCCCTTGAATACTTTCTTTTTTTTTAACTCGTAAAGTGAATTTGCCCAACATAAATACACTCCACATCAGTCAAGTTGAAGATTCCATGCACATTATCAACAGATAATCATCCATTTCTATGTGTCATAAATGTCTTGCCTCTATTTTTCCCCTTGTTTCCTTTCTTCTTACCCTCCTCTTTCTCCCATCCTCTTCCCACACTGTCTCCAGTATCCATAACCATTTTACATGCTTCTAGATATACTAATCTTTCATAAAGTGCAGACAGTCAGTATAGTAAGTGGAAACATACAATGTCTCTTTTTCATAGCCTGGCTTGCTTCACTCAGGAGTAAATCTATATTCATCTACTTTCTATCAAATGCTATGGTCTTGTTGTTTTTTATGGCTGAGTAGTATTTCATAGAGTATATGTGACACAGTTTTTTTATCCATTCATCTGTTCATGGACATTTGGGATGGTTCCATGTCTTAGCAATTGTGAATAATGCCAAAGTAAACATAGATATGCAAGCACTTCTCTGTCTGAGCATTTTTCTACCCTTTGGGTAGATTCTCAAGAGTGGAATAGCTGGATCATGTGGTAGTTATATTTGTAGATCTTTTAGGAACCTCCATATTATTCTCCACAGGGGTTAAACTAATTTACATTCCCATCAACAGTGTAGGAGAGTTCCCTTTTCACCACAGCCTTATCAGCACTTACCATTTTTTGTTTATTTTAACCTTAGCCATTTTAACTAGCATTAGGTGGTATCTCATTCTTGTTTTGCTTGCATCTCCCTTACAATGAGGGATGTCGAGCCTTTTTTCACATGCTTTTTGACTGTTCCAATGTCTTCCTTAGAGAGTTGTTTGTTCAGCTCATTTCCCCATCTTTTAATTGGGTTGATTTTTTTTTTCCAGATAAGCTGCTTGAGTTCCTGTGTACTCTGGTTATCAGTCCATTATCTGAGGCATGGTTTACAAAAATATTCTCCTATTTCGAGGACTGTCTATTCACACTAATTACTGTGTCTTTTGCTGTGTAGAAGCTTCTTAAACTGATGTAATCCCACTTGTCTATTTTTGGAATTATTGCCAGTCCTTTTGAATAGTTTCAATTCTGGTTAAGACCTTGTTGTCTTCTAACTCTGAAGAGGGACTTAGCACTAGCTTCTTTTATGTTGTCTCATCACCTCACTTTAGAACTGTGAAGCTATTTTAAAAGTTTTTTTTTCATTTGAGCACAATTCTATCACTATTGCTTCTACCAACAAAAATGTAGATTTTTCTTTTGGGGCTCACACAAAACAAGTCCTGCTGGGAATCACTTTCAAATCATTTACTGATTTGCAAGCAGGAAACAAACTGGTAGCCCCACTTAATCTCAATCTTTGCTCTAAATGCTTGATTAATTTAGCCTCTTTCTGGAAATTATAAGCTCAGAGAGGGAAGGTGCATGTCTGTTGTGTTCGTCAATATACCAAAGCCTAGCAAAAAGCCTGGAACACAGTAGACTCTCAGTAACAAGTCTGACACTTCCTTCCTCCTTCCTCTTGGCCTCCCTCCCTATTTCCTTCAATCCTTTCCTCCCTCCCTCCCTCCCTCCCTTCTTTCTTTCTTTCTTTCAGTTAAATGAATTACCATTATGTAGCCAATGCTAGGACAACAGATTCCAATGGGCAGAATGGAGAGTTAGTACAGAGCATGACTGAGAGCTCAAAAAAAGTGTTCAAACCAAGGTATTTGAGTTGAGCATGAACTACAGAATTGGCTTATTTTTCAGCCACTTAGAAGGATTGTTTCCTTCCTTTTGACTCAATTAGCCATAATGAATCTAATTTTAACACTTTTCAGGATAGAGAGTATGGCAGAGTGAGCAAGCATCCCTTACGTTCAGTTCTTGAGGCTATACTACCTTCCTGCTG